GGACCGCTACATGAGATCCTTCCTGTCCACAGCCATCAGTATCTGTAATAACTCTTTTAATTAACCATAAGTTACAACATTTAATTTCCCTTTGGGATTAATAAAGTATCATTGAACTGAACTGAATTTTTATTATAGTTTGCACTAGTTGAGCCTTTCTTACAATCTGTTAAGGTGACCTCTATCAGGTCTCAAAACTTTTGAAGGTTTCAAAGCGTATTTTTATAATTTTATTTTGGAAGCCTTTTCACTAATCTTCTGTCCAGTTCTTGTGCTCGATCATGACAGTATTTGTGTTTACAAACAAACACAAAGGGAAGTTGTGTATCTGTGTTGTCACAGCTTCACATCCTGCGATGATGAATAGCCGATTCTGCCCACGTTAAGAGGACAGTGTTGGCGAGGAAAATGAAGCAGGAAAGAGATGAACAGAAACTGCACTGTACGGCACCGAACCATGTAATGGAACAGGAACGAAAAGGAGACACTTGTATTCATCACCAGGTGGCCGGACCAGAATACAAACCCAGGAAACTTTGTTTGCATCACACATACACAAAATGTGACTCCATTTTATCTAAATAACGGAAAATCCTGACAACAAAATTGTGAGTATCTACCCGTGCATTTAAAACTCTTTAAAATATTAGCAACATTCTCTATTCTAACATTAAAACTTACTCTGTATTATAATTACTTTCTGCATTAATCATTTAGAAGCAAAGACGTCTGTTTGATTTTTTTTCTGGGACAAGTGGCCTCATTATTAGCACGACACAAACATCAAAGGCATATTAAAACAAACATATGCAGCTGGATACAAGAAAACATGAACATGTTCTTCCTTCTGTGGCCTCTCTGATTACTTCTAGTTTAAACTCTCTGAACTTGATTTTGAGGCATTGGTGTTATTGTTGCACCTTTTGAGGATTCCAGTCTTAGTAGTGGACATTGTCACTAAGCAAAGAAAATAGACGAAAGCCACTTTGACTGTGTTCGTCACTGGGCATCAATTGGATTTCGGAAGACATTGTTTCTCATCTGAGGAACTTTCTCAATTCAAACAGATAAATGCATAGTTTCAAGCTTTTGATCCTCAGGAGGGAGAGAAGGGACAGTGCATGGTGCATGTGAGTTCAGCTTTTTTAGTTTGAACCGAAAAAGCTCCTCAGGTGTGAAGTTAAATAAAGTACAGTTATATTTGATTAAACTTACTAAAAAAAAACAACACTGTTGTCAGCACTTGATGCTTTTAAATTATCCAGGTAGCATTAGAAACATAGGTAAACATGGTAGTTTTCATAAACTCCAGTAGTCCATGTGAGCTAAAGATAGTATCTGGTAGTAACTTTAACTAGTTATCAAAAAAATGCAAGAATATATATANCACACACACACACACACACACACACACACACACACACACACACACACACACACACACACACACACACACACACACAAATGTCACACACACACAAATGTCCCTAAGGTTAAACTTGCTTCATTCTTTCAGTTTTAACATACATATAAGGTTCATGACATGTATAAACTGATAAAACACTAGAAATAGAGAGATACCAAACCATGCCTTTTGCCTATATTATCTAGTATCTAATACTGTATATACAACATATATGAAAGATTTATGTGTCTTCTGCCTGCTTCCAGGTCTGTGCTCGCTTAGAGGAGGGAGACTTGTCTTCACAAGAGGCTTTCCTATGGGGAGGGATAGAAGATCAAAGCTGATATTAATACCAGTTTCTCGACTCACAACTCTGGAGGGAGGTAATGAACTTCAAGAGGGAAAAAAATGCTGCAAAACAAAAACTGAACGTGAATTTAGAACCGCAACAAGCCGATTTTTAATTTGACATTTTAATGTCAAATATGTCAGGGTCAGTGGAAGATGTTTTAGAGCAGTGCCTGTACAAATCAGTTCAAATTTGTAACAAAAAAACTGCAACTATGTAAGTTTATTACAAAACTCATTTATGCTGCATCTGTCTGTTGACGAGGACTGAAATGCAGGCAGTAATAGAAGGCAGTGCTCACAGCAGAGAAAAGGGGAACAATGGTGGATTTTCAGACATTTCTGGAGGTAGATGAGAAGCCAATATTCTTAGCATCGGCTGATCTCCACTCTCCCAAAATTAAGGAAATCTGGGAAATCCAATTTATCGGTGCACCCCTAATTGAATGTAATATAAAACAGGGTAATAGAAAGGTAGGGAATTAAGAAAAAAATCATAAACAAATAAAGCATGAAACCCAAAAATGAGGGTCAGGTCTGCAAATGATTTTAACAACAAAACAAAAACGTGCAGAAGATGATGACGATGATAAGACGATTAAGCTATCATCGGCTAAGTCCTATGTGTTTTTTACGTTGATAGCTGTAGACTGTCGACAGGCACAGGAGCTGATAAACAGACAAAATCTAAGGTTTGGGAAAGTTCTCATCGCCCTGACAAGGCAAACTTTAAGTACACTGGTTGGAGTCCTAACTGGGCACAATCTGCTCAATTGCCACAAAATGGTGATGGGACTCCTTGACAATGGTCAGTGTGATGAAATTAGAGACCTCTTTGCACTATAGGCCACTGCCTGGCTCTGAGCAGTCAAAGGAAAATAATTCTTGGGGACCCCTTTATGGATTCCAAGAATCTCTGAACACTGAGTGTTTCTAATCTTGTGTCCTTCATCCGAGGGACACAAAGGTTTGATTAAAGCTCATCGTCCGTTTAAGGAGAGCAATGAGCCCACTTATGAGGCTCCCGCTCGTATGGGTTCTTTATCCAACTCCACTCACCTTAACCGTTGATAGCTCTGACTATTTTAGCTATCTTGTTTCATTTTGGAAATCTGCAAAGACAAATAAAACCAAGACTAATCGTAAAAAATCAAACCAATTATATAAAAAAGAACAGATCAAGAGAGTAAACAACTCAAGAAGTCCTAACGCAGAACCTCAATGTCTAAAGCAAAATTAAAAGATCAAACAAAATCCAAATTCTGACGTCTTTATTTATTCTGTGGGATTAGTACATTTGTATATCATTCACCTTCAAGTTTTAAAGGATAAGATCAGGCCTTTGTAGACAAACTAGCCTCCCTCTCTTCCTCAATTACTTCCCCTCAGTGTCACTTCCTTTCTGCCTCCCTGTCTGTCCTGCTGTCTTCACTCTGCAGACACGTCTGTTTGTATCGATGATCAAATAAAGAGCTGAACTGAGAGACGGACCAACAGCGACAGCACAAGACGGAGCACAAGACAGAAAGCGTGACGAATAAAGGTGGAGGCTGCGCGCCTCACGCTCAGGAACTTAATGATACAAAATGAGTTGAACTAGCAGCAGCTGCTGGTGGAGGCAGACGACGTGGACATAACCTCAACTTTTTATGGATTCTCAGCCAACAGCAAAGTTAAGCACAACAAGATGGCAGCTGTCGACTTTATTGTGCTAGTTATATTCTCATCTGTAAGAAAAATGAAATCACACAAATGTAATCTGTGTAAATAATCACTCAGCTGTCTCTTCAGTTTTCACGTTCAGCGCTTCCTGTCAGCGCTTCCATGAATAGAAAAACGGGATTACGCAGAGATGAGCAGAGCTGTAGATATGTTTTTGTTTTGTTTTATTTATTTTTTTTTTTAAAATGAGACCTAGAATATAAATGTGGTGGTCTTGCGGTTCTCATTTACCACTCACTGTTATTGCAACTCAAGTTGAGCAGCACGCACTGAGCCCTCAGGATTAAATATGCTAAATCACTAGATTTTTTTTTCTCTTCATCTTTTACAGACAAACACAAATAACTTACTAAGGTTGTCAGAAAACTATATGTGCTGCCAAGTTTTAATAGTCAATAGCATCTATCAGCTGTAGAACAAACAAATGAATAAACAACACAAGCTAAAATCTTTTTATATAGGCTTGAAAACAAGCAGAGTTGAATTTTGGGAGCCAGGATTTAGTATTATGTGCAAAACTAAATGTGTCTTATGCTTTTAATCCTACAAAATATAGTTATCATTGAGGAAGAGATGTGAACGTAAGTGTACTGATGGCCACTCACTCACAGAGAGCCCTGGCCCAGTTTAAACCCTGATTACAAGTTTATCATCAAATGTCACATTTCAATTACCGTTTTTTTTTTACAAGCAGAAAGTGAGCTACAGTATCAAATGTTTTTGAGGAAAAGTAATTCAAAAAGCTGCACAAGTTTTACTTTGGCTTAAATCATAAAGCCAGAGATATGTACGTTAGTGAGCTTTTATAAAGACTGACCTTCTAAATAGAATAAAAAAAATTAATTTAATTCTGTGAAATGAAACCAAGTATATATATATATATATATTTGAGTTGTTGCGGTCTTATTGACTTCTAAGTGTATGCAACCAAATCACAGCCTGTTTGTGTGCAAACGACTTTTTTGGCCGTGCACATTATTTTGTTGTACACTTTATTTTACCCCTCATTAGCAACCTCCCACACATCACTGAATTAATGAGTTGAGTACACCAGATTTGGAACAGTTCTTATTTAGATTTTTTAAAATTTTTTTTTTACTATTAGCAAAGTTTTTAAGCATTGAGAATTTGCCCCAGATGTCAGAGGAGACTTCAGGTGTCAAAATACAGCTACAATGCTTTTGACATGGGCTGGATATGCCAACGACAAAATTCAGGTGGTTTCAAGGAGAGTTTTAGTCACCCACATAAACTGTTTTCAGAGAAAAGTTTTACTGCACAAATGTTTTAACGTGTTTAAAACTCAAGCGACAGGACTGTGGTTCTTTCCGACTAGTCTCGGCCTAGCAAAATATTAACTTAAAGCCAAGAAGTTCTGCAAAACAAAAATGAGACTATTTGCAAAAGCGATATGTCCCGTCCTGGTCTCTGTAGAAAACCCTAACAGATGTAGGGAGCGCCAGTGGTTAAAGTAAAGGTAACTTTAGTGCATTTCTAATGAAAGTAAAAAGTGTTTAATACTTACAACCATACCATTTAGGGACACCCAGCAGTCAGGGGGAAAGTCTTGAAGGAGAGGCACCAGATATTGGAGACAGCCATCCCAGTGACACAGAAGCAGCATCATCCCTATCAAATTAAATATTCTTACCACTGCACTCGCCAGGTCATAGGTCATATGGAAAATCTGTGGAAGAGAGACAGGAGGAGGGAGAGAACGGGACCTTCGTTAGACCTCATCAGAATTCTGACATTTAAACATCCAAATCAGTATCCAGATTTGGATGGATTATATAGTAGCTCTAAACTAAACTCCTTGTGAACCAGTTTTTCAAAAATAGAAATAAAGCTTAAAGAAATGTTCACAAAAGGTCACCTTTGAAGCTGAGGGCATGATGTCTATGGAAGATTTTGACTTTGTGTCTCTGCTGTTCACCGTTCAGCGTGGACACTTTCCAAACACGCATGCAGCACAGAGCGGTGCGAGGAATGCAGAGCAAATGCGTTGGACGATAAAGAGAGTGCAGGCCATTTGGAAAAATGGCCAGTTAGTGTGCTCAGATGCCACGAGCTGAGACGAGTGTCACCGCTGGTGTGGCTATTTAATCAGAGCAAGAAAGTTTCAAAATAGAAAGTCATCTAGGGGCGGGGGTGGGGGTTTGAACATGCACATCTGCAGGGAGAAGCCGCTTCATTTCCACCCGATCTGGACGTAGTGAATTGGCTCACGCCTGGATGACTGCAGCGCTCATTCAGAGTTACTCATTAGCATGAAAAACCATCATTAGCATGAAAAGCCCATTACTTAATTCCAGGTTAGTTATTCCACAGCCTTCCTTGCACCAAGGCTTAATTTATCCTTCAAAAAAAAAAAAATAAATAACTTGAATAAGGAGAAACGTGGCTGCCAATTGGTCCGTTTTGCATAATAAACCTGCCCCATTTCTCACTTTGTTGAATCGGAAGAATATGATTTGCAGCTCATTATGATCCATTTTAAACTGACAGTTTTCCATTTCACACAAATTTGTCTTTTGACTTACAATTTAATGAGTTCACCGTGTCATCCGAAACTTTAAAAAAAGTCAAATTTGTCTATTTTTTGATGTCATCTTTCCCTTCTAGCAGCTTTTGCTTCATAAATAAGGGGTTTAAATATAAATGTCATGATGTACGAATGTGTATTTTGCGATCACGCTCAACAACTTTTTCTCTCCGTGTTCACAGTCAGGCTGACCAAACCCACAGGTGCTGCAAAGGGCTTTGTACCTCTCCACTTCATTCTGCTGTGGCTGTACTGTAACCCGTCCTGCACAAAGAACGGCATCCACAAACAGAAGAGAGAAGAGAATAAAGGACCTGAGCTGATGCTCAGATCCCTCTATGGTTCAACTCATCCACAGGGAGACACAGTGCACTGCCCTGAAAGGCTAAAATTAGCTCATAGGGTGGATGTCTCAATGCACCTATCTCCTCTGCTACCCACATCACTACTTCTTATGCAGCATCATATTTTAATAACATAAGAGGAAAATATGACACTCTAAAGGAACTGAGACAAAACAAAAACTGGAAAGCACAGAAGCTATAATTGACTAAAACCTGAGTAAAACAGGAAGTATTCATTGTGTCCCGATTCAATTTGCAAATTAGCAAAAGACAAAAATAGAAAAGGGTCAATAGTTTCTGTGCACATTTCTCCTTCTACAAAATGTTGAAAATACAGCAAAACAGAAGCAAGGGAAAGAGAGAAGGGTGAGAAGGTGCTCTGTGTGAAGGTTGGAGCAAGGATTTCCTAATTCCCAGGGACCATCTCACTTTGCTGGGAAGTTTCTGTGACCTTTGGGTTGTGCTGCATCACAAAAGACGTAAGGGGGAGAGACGGAAAGTCATTAACATGGAGTGGAGTTGTTCTGGGTTTGCATTTCAGAGGACGTCACTTTGAAAAGTCCTGCTGGGAGCAGCAGGTAGTCAGAGAATAATTATTTCAATTTTTCAGAAAAACGTCTGTTTAGGTTACGATATTTAAAAAGATTAATTTATTGGGATGTGAAGTGAAATGAGAATGAATCTGAACTAATGGGAATTTAAATCATTTGTCTAAAAAGTGACATTATGTAAAACAAAAACAAAGTTGTCAGTTACGCTAATGTTGACACAAGGAACCAGATTTTTGTAGTCATGGTCTATGCCAATACAAGACTCTTAAATCAGGTCACCATTTTTTTTATTAGCTTCATTTCACAATCATGTATTCATTTCTTTAAATTTTTACTTATACTGTATGTGGATTTGTCATCTTGCAAGGAAATAACCACTAAAATATATGTATATTGTATTTTCTTTATGTGTTGAACTGTCAAGAGATTTTGTTACATGGCTAGACCATGCGGAATTAGAGAAAACAGTCTCATAATTGCACTTTTATCTTATAGTTTGACTATTTTCAAATAAACTGGGTAATACTGGGATCATGTATTGTCTTAAAAGCAATATTTTTTATTGTTAGTACTTTCTTTTATAAGATTTTACAATAAAGCATTTGTTTCCATAAAACATTGTATCCATGGTGTCTTTGTTGCAACACAACAAGAGAAAAAGAAAAGAAACTAGGGAGAAAATGAGTGAAAAGCTGCCAAAGTCCAAAGAAAAAAATATTGGAAAGATCTTCAGAAAGCACTGAGAACCTTTGATCAAGACCAGCTTAAGCCAGTCCAAAATAATTAGAGAAGATGTAAAACTTGTGTACAGTGTTGCTAAGTTAGTTATTTAGCAGAGTGATCCGTCTTTCACGTCATGTAAGAGTTGGTTTTGTTAGGAATTTGTAGGCTAAAAGTCAAGAACATTGTCATAGTGACCAAGTGCAGAGTCTGAGTAAATGTCTATCAGGAGCTAAAAGCAACAGCAAGCTAAGCTCAGATCCACAGCCCTGGAGGGCAATGAGGGCACACGGCTCACTGAACACAGCTTCCTGTGGCAGTGGCACTCCCAAGTCACAGAAGTCTCCCTTACTGAGTCAGAGGATGCAGCAAAGATAGCTCAAGATTTGTTTGTGGAAAATGAAAATGAGGACCTTGAAGTTATTTTGCATTCCAATTTGACTGAGCACACATGCCTGCTCATTTCCCATCAGCAGGTTGGTGGTTTGAAACATCAACATTATTAAAGATGAACGAAGCATCCCTTCTCCTGTTATTAAAAATTAAAGGCAAAATCTTAGGCTCCTGCCATGTATTTTTGTAACCAGTTTGCTCACAGGGGATTTAGGGCTGTACCCTCAATACAAAAGTCCTGCCTTTATAATCAACTAACACACTAACAAACCTCTAAAGCTGCTGTCTTTTTTTTCTCCTTTGGCTGATCCATTCAGTAAGTAACTTGGGTTCAAACCCACAACCTCAGGATGACCAAACCATGGCACTGAGCTACCACAGCCTTTCTAACAAGCCTAAAAAACTTAACTGAAACTACACATTTTTCAAAAATAATGTCTCAACTCCCACTTTATTGGCTACAGGAAAAAAAAAAGGTTGAGATGTTTGTACATACATTGTGACTTGCTCCTAATTTTATATTTTTTTACTTATTTCATTTGCAAAAGACATAGGTCATTTAACAAGACTACATAAACAATTTAAATGCAGTTTTAAATAACGCTTTCATGCTAGTTTTAGACTCTGAACATCTTGGTTCATTAACAACTAAACATTCGTTAATTTCTTCAAGCAAACTGAATCACCTGCTAATAATAGTACACTTTAATAAAAAGTAAAATCCAGCCTATCATGACAGTTCAGCATTGTCTTCTGTGTGACTGAGCTTCCTTGTGTCTGGTTGTGCCAAAAAACAAAGTTTCATTTTAAACTGACTGAAAAGGTAACACCAACAATGAGCCCAAAGCACCAAGAACATCCCCAGCTGGCAAAATATTGGCTTAGAATTAAGTTCACGAAGCTTCAGTTTCACTGGGGAGGGAGCTACTGGTTAGTTTAATCCTCTAATACTGTAGAGACAAACAGCCAAGATGTATTATGATAGTGACACAAAGTCACATGCTGGTTCTGTCAGCCAACAAGATGCACATTCACATCTGTCCATATGCACTAAAAAGTTAGACAGCAACTGTTTTTTGGTCTAGTTTTGCATATGCAAACACACTCGTACAAAATGATTTATTTAAATCAGTGTTATTCCCAATGTTCATCACACATTTGGTTTATCTTTTAAACTTTTCTAGACTTTACCCGATTGCCGTCAGTTTGTCGTTTCTGTGGTTGGCTGACCTTTTAAAACAAATGTGCAGAGAAAAGAGCAGGGAGGAGAATTACATGTCATGAAGCTGCGGGCCCTAAACACGCAACAACAAAGTGGCCTTTATGCATCTTTAAATTGGACATGACTGACCTCTGTCTGAGGTCAGCGAGGATTAGCATGGGACTAATTTGAGTGGATTAAATCCGCCATTGGCCATTGCGTTGAGGGCTAGCATAACTGCTTCCAGGAAATCTGGAATTCTCCTGCTTAACGTCATCTTGTAAAATCTCCATTTGGATCTCTCTTAGTCTCTCCTTAATTACAAAAAAAGAAAAGAAAAAAAAAGCACAGCTGAACATGGATTTTTTTTTAATTTTATGTAACTGGAACTTCAGTTCTTTCCATTTACTGTTCAGTTCAAATAACTGATAAGGAGGCAATAAATTTTAACTTTACACACTGAAAAAATGTATCCAAAGCCATTCTCTCATTCAAGGAAAAGCAGCTTGCTGTATGCAATTATGACTCACGTGACCATTGTGTGCAGAGCGTAATCATGTTGATGTAACTTTAGTTCAGCAATAAATAGACATAAGAGCAGTTGGCATTACTTCAGAGCTTCGGGCAGTACATTGTATGCTCTGGAAACCTCATCAGTGCACAGATCTGTTTAAAAAAACAGTAGAAAAATAGGCCAGACCACACAGAAGGAGGAAATTATAATTTTTTTCTATGATTTTATGTAATATGTGGCTCAGTTTTTTTGCACAAATGGTTATTATTCAGGGTAATTTTATATCGGGTTGGCTCTGAAAGTTGGTGATTATTTCCTAAAAGGTTCATTAGAATCTGTCTAGTTCTTGAGCTATTTTGCTAAATGACTCGTCTTTGCAGCAAACGATAAATGACACTTTTTTAAAGCAGGTAACAGCG